AAAGTGGTCCATATATAAGTGACTCAATATATGGATAATAAAAGCACTCAAGACTACTTAAGTGAATTTTCTGTGATTCTTGGCATTGTAAACGTTGCCCCATAAGACATACCTAACAATCATGCCATACTTCCATGGGCAACAAGATATTTTTCAGAGTATCAGGAAGATCATCCCAGTCCTCAAGAGGTTTTCTGTTCAATACTGCACACAGTTGGATCAGTTATTTTCTGCTCTAATTCAAAAAGAAATCTGTCAACTTTTTAACAAAAATTTTTCCACAAAAATTTCTCCCATTGTGATTGCTATTTTTAATAACCTAGTACTGTACATGCTTTGATGATAGATATCAGTAAACTCACTTTATTTGTTCTAGTCTAAATCCTTGAGATTTATGACCCAGGCAGGAAAAGTTACATTTATAGCAACTTTTCTTAAAATGCATTGACTTCTTCAGTATGGAGTCACGTCTTCAAATGAAGCTAAGGAGCAACAAGTAACAACTAAAGGGTACAGACAGGCGAGACAGTGGCTTCAAGGTATAAGTCAATATAATCTTATGGTGCTCAAGTGTGCAGAGAGGTAGTGTGATGTTTTTCTCATTTTTGAGGTGAAAAAAGCTGGAGGAGTGAACAGAGGTAATATACTCAGTCACACAAGAAACCCACAACGCAAGTCTTCAGTACAGTTATCATGCATTTAAAACACTTACGAGTTTCTCACTTGTCATGATTCTGAACTTGATTAGTGGTAGCATTTAAAAAAAAGAAGTGTTAAACCACAGAACTTCAAGTCAACTTTTTTGCAGCCCACCACAGTGCCCTGCTTCCTGCTCCTCTGTTGCACCTCTGCAAACTTGAGACTAATAGCATAAAAAATAAGCTAACACAAGTAGTATGTAACAAGCATTTCCCTACAGAGTGTATTTGTGACTAGAAGTATCAGCAGGTACAAGACACATCTTAGCCAGATGACCTCAACAACTTCTAGCAGTCTCAAATGTCCCTATGTGTCAGCAATGTCTTGATGAGGCAAGCATTACGTTACTCTGGTCAGTTACCTACCAAAGAACAACTATTTCCTGCATGTTCTTCAGTTTCTCGACACGTAGGAGTGTACCTTGCTCAGGTACACTTCTTTAGTATGAAAGTGCTCAATGGAAAGGATAACAAAAAATAGTGATTATAGAAGAATCTTATCCTTCAATATCAAAGTTATTTTACTGGAAAGAAAAAAGAAAGAAAAGGACCTGTGACACGATAGACAAGGCTGCCTGATAAGAATAAAAGATGTCCTTTGTATTATAATCGCATATAAAATCATTCCACTTCCAGCATGTTTTCAATTGCTGTGTACTTAAAATGACAGGATGGTGCATATAGCTATGTATCACTTCAGGAAAAACTATAATGGCTTTTTTCCCAAGTGTTTAGCTACCACTACAGAAAATTATTCTCTGTACTTACAGAAATAAGGAGAAAACTTCCTGTAAATAGCAAAGAAATTTTAAAAAAATCTTGTATTATTATCAAGGATGAGTAAATGTGGGTAGAGCTCCAGACTTCAGCAGCATCCCCACCCTTCAATCTAAACACTCCAGACCTCATTTTTTTTCCTGAAGTTTCACCTTGAATTTTATCAGGTCAAGATAATAATCTGCGTGTTAATGAGTTTGAGACCTGAGATTATCAGTTGTCAGTTAAATTTGGATGAGAAAAATAACCAGATTTTTTTTAGAACTGACAAATAACCTTTTGCCTTTTCTCATCTGAAGTGAGCAAACCTTCCTGAGGCATTTGTTTTCTTTATCTATAAAAAACCTTTTGTAATTACTGTCTTGAATATAACATTCAATATTTTGCAAAAACATGTCAGAAGCTTGTCATGTGTCTCTTTAGTTCTTCTGTTCTCATCAAAGGTGATATGCTGACGGGAGGCTATTAAGTGCATTTTCAGCATCAGTACAGTATCTGTTAAGTATTAGACAACATGTCTTTCTCTCCCCCATCTTCATAGCCTTGGCATTTTCTCTGCAAGACTGGGAAATTTTTGAGGGTGAAAGTTTTCGACCTACAATGCACTAACTTTTGTTTTGAGGAGGAAGCCCTGATGGGCCAGACAGTTATCTGTTCTTTCAAGAGGTTCGAGCTGCACTGTAAAGATCTTCATGTAGCTTGTTGCATATCTTGCTGGACTGGCACTTAGGGTATGCAAACTAGACATTACTGAAAGAGTTTTGCCCACACCTGAAAGACAGAAATCCAGCATGAATGCCTTCACGCTTAGAGAAAAGTGGTTTGTTGAGTAGAGACCCACAGACCTGGACTGATACCTTGCATTCTCACTAGATGAATTCATGAAGGGAGAAGGGAAGCTAATTTCACTCCTACCCTGATTCTCCTCACACTGACCACAGCCTTATCTTTTGTCTGTTTTCTATGGCACACAAGTACTGCTGTCTTCTCCCAGCTCAGAAGGACTGTATGACAGTCCTCAGTGACTGGACAAGTAGTCCCTTGCTTTTCATTTTGATGCTATGAATATCAGACTGGGTGCTATTGAAAGACATTTAAAAGACAACATATAGTCACAGTCAGCATAGATTCATAAAGAGAACGGCCTGTCCAACTAATCTGTTATCCTTCTACGATAAGGTCACCTGCTTAGTGAGCGAAGAGAACAAATGCCAGATTCTGCACGTAAGACAGAGTAATGCAGGGCAGAAGTATAAATTGGGAGAGGAATGGTTGGAGAGCAGTCCTGCAGAAAGGGATCTGGGGATACTGGTCGACAACAGGCTCAATATGAGTCACCAGTGTGCCTGGGCAGACCACATCCTGGGGTGTATCAAACACAGCATAACCATCCTGTTAAGAGAGTTGATAACCTGCTGTATTTATCATTGGTGAGGCCTCATCTTGAGTACTGTGTGCAGATCATGGCCCCAAATTTAAGAAGCTTATTGGGGTACTTGAATGTGTCCAGAAGAGGGCAACAAAGGTGGTGAAAGCGCTAGTACTCACCATAACGTAATTCTGACACCTAAATATACATTTAAATACAACTACCAACCAGTTTTTCAGATCTAGTGGGAACACACAGCAACACAAATTGTTTCCACAGAGAGTTTGCTATCCTACTTTCTGCTAAAGCAAGAAAAAAACTTATTAAATCTTTCTAAAAATGGCTGGGTCCTCAAGATGAAATAAGTATTTTTTTTCAACCCTTTTAATTTTTCAGTTCTTTCATATGACATTTCCCCTTCTTTCTCAGTCATCTAACAAAATAATGCATGGATTTTGAGCCTGCTTCCTTCCTTCATAAATATGCTAAAAATGAAATCTAATCAAAGGAAAACGCATGGTAAGTAAAAATCAGAAATGGATTTTGATGTGGAATCTGGTGACATGACCAATCTTAATATTAACAGATTTTTTAGAAGGAGAAATACAGTGAAGAACCAAAGTCTCTTGAACACATTGTATTCAGTCTCCTTCTTCTGTAAGCATTGTCCAACAAAAGCTACACTACTTTACATATACATGTTGCTTTATATGTTCCAGGTTTTGAGATCAAAAAAGATTTGCAGAAGACCCATTTCAGCTGGAAATTCCTGTTACTGAAAAACAATAATCACGATATTTAGTGGGATAGAATAGACAAACTTAATGATATTGACTGGATCTCATGGTTTTATGTGCACTGATGTTTGAAAACATTGAATGCAGTATGCCAACTTCTACTGATACAACTCCAAGAATATCACAGGCTTTCTCAACACTTTAATACCTATTCCCCTCTCTATCTCTTTTTTCTTCATATGAGTTCTGTGCTGTTTCTCCTTGCAAAAAACACATTCAGCTTTGGACAAGAAGCAAGTTGCTTCTTTTACTTTACCACCTCTTCGAAACAGCAGGTTTTGAACGATTATCAGTTTTGCAAATAATCCCGTACTCTTATTTCTACCTTCTTTCACTCAAGATTCCTTCTTTCTAAGAATTCTTACATCTTCTCAATGACAGCTTCTCAAAAAAAAAGAAAAAAAAGAAAAAATGTTTCTTATTTTCCCTCTTACTCTCTATCAACATAAACAGTTTTCCCTATTACTGTTTACAGTGCAGCTATTCTCCCAGCTTCTAGACTCACTATCTCAAAACATCTCTGGAACTGGGCAAGGAGATATTTGCACTACCCATGCAGAATCACACCAACAGACTAAAAACCTTGGAAGTTTGTTAGAAAATTCAAGCTAGAGTATGGCTTAGCTCTAATTCTGAGCCAAAGAAAATGAAGTGACTGAACTGATAGAACATACACAAAAAATAGCACAGCAAGTTTCTGTCACCACTTGATTTATTCAAGCCATAGCTGTTACTTCAAGCAAAGTCACCAGTGAGTTTGTGAGACTTCACTGGCTATGCCACAGAGTGCAATGGGGATTGACGCCTGGCCTGTGGTTTCTTTCCCCTTAGTGTTTCTTAATATGTCACTGGGAATATTAATTCTGTGTTATGAAACAGTTCCAAATGTTAAAGAAAAATAATTGGAAATACTTGACACTTCACTTTCTTTGGAATTAATGAAAATTCAACAAAATGTGCTTCATTATATGAAGGGAGGTCTTAAAAAGGAGACAATGGGGTGTTTTCTGAATCATTCAGTTTCTTCAATGGTTTCAGACATTTTTTCTCCAAGAAAAAAGTATAACTATGCTGGCACTGTTAGAACTAAAAATGATAGATGGGATATGTTTCAAGAGCAAAAGAAGCATGGAAAATAAACTCTTTTTGGAGAAGAAACAGTTTATGTAGGCAGGACTGACAATCCTTATTGTATTTTTTTGCAATTCATTATATGCACTGCACTTGAAGTACACATAAAATATTGCTACTGCTCTACAATTGGATATGCTTGATTATATTAATATATTCTACATTTTGAAATTGGAATGTTTAAAATTGTTAGAGGTGTGGCAATTTTTTCTCCTGATACTCCCTTTCTTTTCATCACATTCTGCTCAATTTCATGGACTTTTGTGGTCAAGTATTCAGACTAAAGCAGGTCAGCATTTTTTTCCCCGAGCTCATTCTCCACTTCTCAATAACAATATCACAGGTCACACATATTCTTAAGTTCCATACCCCATGCTGCAGATCTTAGTGCTGCCAAAGAGAGGTCTACTAACACTTATTTATTACCAGGAACAAAAGCAGTACCCTCAAAAGATACCAGAAAGCTGGAATGAATGCTGCAACAGGAAAAAGACTGGGGTTGTACCAGAACTGCACCTCCAAAATGCATTTTATAAAGAACCACTGAAACTGAGGATTTTTTCAGTCATAACAAAAGACAGAAAAAAAGCTCACTGTTTGAGAAACCTTGTTTTAAGTGTCTAGTTATGGAGACTTAAGGTCTCATTGCAATCAAAATCTGACAACAGCCACAGCAAAACCTAGACAGCTTCTTATCCACCCCTGAAGAAACTCCTTACATGAATAAAGTAGAGGCTATTTTACAAATTTTTACATTTTCAAATGTGAGTGTGCTCTTTGCCTTCGTTGGAGGATAGGTCTGTCCCTCAGGACCCTGCAGTGCACTGTGCTAATGGGGAATATCCTTCATGGTTTCTTTGGGATAATGCTCACCTCTTCCTGCATCTCCTCCCTAACTTTAAACCAGTTTCTCACAGGTTTAGTATCCTAAAAAGAGATTAGACAAGCTTAAAACCAGCTTCTTTCTGTGGAAACAAGATTAACTTTGCTATCTTTTACACTCTGTTAATTGGAACATGGTATTTAAATAAATCCTCACTTGTTATTGAAGAGTTATTTTATATATGTAAAAGTATTTATATCTCAGAAGATCTTATTGTAAAAACATTTACCACTTTGTCCTTTTACTTACCATCTGCAGTAAAACTCATCACATAGGTTTCATTTCTTCCAGTAGCTACACAGCGGTACGTTGCAAAGTCAGAGGCAGTAAAGTTTTGAATGATGATCATGGAGTTTGCCTGATCAGAACAATCCACCAGTGTACGCTCTTTGAAATCTGAACCAAAGCTTTGCTTTCCTGATGAGCTGCACAGAACAATGGTATCTATCTGATCTGCTTTAATCCTTTCCCACTTCACTTGCTGCACTGAATCTCCAATTTTATAAGGACAAGTAAAAGTGACATCGGTTCCCGGCTTGGTAAACACATGATTGTTTTGTTTCTCAGATGCTTCAAAGGAAACATCTGTTGAAAAAAAAGAAACCCAAAAAAAATCAGAAAACCTGCTTATAATTTATTCAAGGGAAGTTTAGTATCAACAATTCCTTTACGGCAAATATTAATGAAATTGACTTACAGCAGAGAGATGCTCAAATCAATTACAATATTGAAAAATATAATTTATACCTACTTAAGACTATAATTTGGGCACATTTAAACAAAATAGTCTTTACGAGACTATGAGGGTGAGATGACATTGCAAGAAGGCTATTTCTATACATTCTGAATGCCTGATGATTGTACTAACAGTTTCAGCAAATATTCAACAGTATAAATTATGGGGCCAGTCTAATTAAATTTTTGATAGTCTTGCTCTACTTTCACACTAATTATAATAAGAAAATGGTTTGATGTGACCCTCAGGATATGCATTAGTAAATTATGTCAAAAGACTTTCCAACATATGAACTACAATTCTCTCATTCACAAACCTCACGACTTAAATAAAAAAATTCTTATCCTTTCATATACTCTATTTGGGAAAACCTGTGGGATAGTCAGGCTGTGTTATGAAAGGAGACTTTCAGGCAAATTCAAGACTTCCAATAAACATAAACCATAGATATCTTAAATAATTTTGAATGAAATTTCCCTGCTCTGAGTTACTGTGTTCAGTAATACAATTTGCTGTTTACAAATCAAGAAAAAAAGGTTTTGAAGTCTTCAATAGAAATATTGTCAATATTTCTGATATTCAGAGGATTCAATAGCCATTTGCTTTCTAAAGTTGATTTTGTAATGTAATTGTATGTAATTGTAATGTAATGTAATTTGATTTTGTAATTTTCATAAGTTAGGACTAGCATTGTCATCTTTTTGAAGACTTCAGTGTTGAAAAAGATTAATGATCAGACTGCTTTTCCTACATTGTAAAAGGACTGATCATTCGAGCTGTTCAATGAGTTTCTTTTTTATTAGATGACTTTATGTCAAAAATGTCACTAGTATGTATTTTTAATGTGTTTACCTCTATCTGTTGTAGCAACTGGAAGCAAAGAAAGTTAAAATTGCATAGGAAAAATGACAGTCGTTAAATGCATCAAAATCCATTTAAAAAAAAATAAATAATGATTTTAAAATGAAGCTATAGCCAGATCCATTTAATGGGATGGTTGCAGTAGCACTCTTGAGCGGAACAGAATATGCTGTAAGACTGAGCTAGATATAGAACCTCCTTGATATAACATTTCTATCAGAAATCTAGGGAAAAAATACTGGTAAAATGTATTGCTTCAAATGCTGTTAGTGCCAGGGTTGTCAAAATCATAGGTATCGGAGAAATCATCAATACAGTTGGCCTAGTTCACCTCCTAAGCTATGTGCAGATAGCAGTAGTATTTCATGTGGGCAAGCTTGCTACCCTAAATCTATGAATAAGTGTTTCCATACATGTTGACAGGATGGAGATGTCACTGTGGAAGTTTGTGACTTCTGAGGCTTGTGCAAGCTCTGTGAAACAGTGAATGAGAAAGTCTAGCCTGCAATGTTTTATCAATGGAACACAGCACAGTAGAATTACATTCCCTCTGCCTTTGGAGACCAGAAGTATGATTAAAACATTGAAATGCTGAAAGACAAAATTAGTCTCATGAGTTTGCCTAAAAAAAAATAATAATAAAGAACTTGAATATCCATATAGACTGCAATCAGGGAGTCAGAAAGTTAATTATAGACAAGTAGAGAAGAGAGATAAATGAACTAAACTACACAGAAGGTACAACACGGAGAAGCTAATTAACTCCTTCAACAGCTTGCAGAAGATAGCTAAATTTCTGTTACTGAAGATGACTGCCAAGGCTGGATGATCACTTATGATACCATGTTAGTTCCAGGAAGAATTTATTCAAGGAAGTCTAGGTATTGCTCAGATCAGACTAGTACGATGGGTCTCTACACATGCAAAATACGTTCCTTGAAGTGCAGTCTCTCAAAAGTTACACTAGAAAAGGTAACTTTGTTTATATCTAGCAGATTCAGATCTGCAGGTTCGAATTCAGATCTGCTAGGGAAGAGGGGTATATGAAAAGGTAATTGAAAGCAATTGTCTCCCATGCTCATATATTCTTACAGGTCAGATCCTTACCTCCTGTCTCACTTTTCAGACCATTAACTTCCAGCAGCTGCCTGCTTTACAATAAACCACATATTCTTTCCTGAGAAATCTTGTCTTCTTTACTCTGCAGTCTTTGATGTCATCTTCTGCTATGAGCAAGTCCTACTGCTACCCATGTTCTCCTTAGAAGATTTTAAGTCTCCCCATCTGTTCCTGGGTCCATCCTTGCTGTCTTATTCATTTCACACCAATGCTACCCTAAACTCCAGGTGCTTCTCCTATTTAAACATGCTTATTATGGAAATTTTTTGTATAATGATGATACCTCTCACCTTCCAGAGGATTTTCACCTGACCCAAAGGGCAGCAACCAGAACTGTATGAAAAACAGTCTTCTTCCCTGCTGCCTTGCTGTATATTTGCTAGAAAAATATACATTATACTTAGTGAACTGTGAACAAGAAGATAAAACATTTTCCACTGAAATAATGAAAATCCCCTATTAGTTACCTTTGTATGTTATATGTGCCAAACAAGTTTCCCAATAATATATAATACTACAACATACTATAGTATACAGTAACAGGTATATTACAAAGCTAAGGTTGCCTTGGAACTTCAGTGAAGAATTTCCAGGTACAAATCTTGATATGTTTGTATAATTTTCTGATATAGAAATAATAAATAATATGTTAATAGTGAGAACTATGTACAAACAGGCAAATTAAAATAGAAAGTGTTTTGAGATTCTCAGCCACTGTACATTCTATCATAATCATTTCCAAACACAAACTCATTTTCTATTTTTGCATTGCATGTGTATTTTTCTTGACAGTATGCAGCAACATTCAGTCTTTTCACTCTTCATGAAAGCTGTAAATCTCTCCCCTTTTTTCTATATGATAACTTGCACAATTTACATGATTATATAAGGCACAAGCAGTGGAGAATCAGCCCTACATAGTTCTAATTAAACCTTCCAAGTACACTAAAGTGTTCCCGGCTTTTGTTTTAAGCAATTGTCCCATTTTGTTTTGACACCAGTGTCAGCACAGCTCTTTCATCCTCCCCCTCCTCTGTTCAACCACTTTCTTTATTTAGGACCTTTCTGAACAGTTTCTTTGCTTTCAGCCTGGTACGTGTGGGATGAGAACCTCCCGCTCTGAGAAATCCTTCTATGGGGAAAAAAGGCATGCCCACATACCTTCACCCCTGCACACGCACAACTCAAGGTGACACACCACGTGTGAAAATTTCAGACGTGTTTTATAAAAAAAAAAAAGGTATCATTGCACCTGATTGATAAAAATAGACTTCCCCTGCTCACTGCTCATTCCAGCCACTACCACTGCTGCCTGCTCTGCCCCCAGCCATGGCCATGTCATCTTGCATCCTGGACAGAATGTAGGATGAGATGACAGCACAGAGGTAGGTGAATTTGCCTCTGCTTAGTAAGTAAGTCCTCTGTGTTTGATATCATCTCTGCATTGCTTTTGGCCTAGTGTTATCTATCGCGTTTTGCAACTACAGTTTTTTCTATAATCTGCTTTAGGGCCATGAGACACATAAAGGAGAACAAAATTGTAAGCTTTCCTATTATTAAAACATAATCTTTTAATATTTTTTTTGGAAAGAAAATTTCAGAAATATAGAGATATAAAAGTGTAAACCAACTTCCTAGGATTTAAAGGATCAAGCAGCTAAAATCAAGCTCCACAGCAGGGAAATTGTTGAAATTAAGACATTCCTTTTGGAGGGAAAATAAAATAATAATCTACCCCAAAGTCACCCTCTTTCATACAAGCAAGTAAAGTCAAAATCAATGTTATGTAAAAGTTTGGTTCCCAATCTTTTGAGTAGGGACTTTCTACTTTTTGGCTTCTCTCCTGTACACTTTGATTATTTTTTTCATTCTTTTGGTCACTAATAGGATTAGCTGGTTTTGTTTCTTCAAAGGAAAGACAACTTAGATACTTTTAGACTTGTTTTCACTTCGTTTATTCTTTATTAAAGTCAGTATCTATAACAATTTAATTACTGTTCACTATATATTTCACCAATCCCAGATTTATAATCTTATACAAGGTGTAGTGTTTCACTCTGGGCTGCACATAAATCTTATGCATTCCTCCTGGTTTAAAATCGTATATAAAGGAAGCAATACTCCTACTTCAACATCAGTTTTACAACTTCAGAAAGGCAAAAATCAGCACAGTAAAATAAAATGCCACAAAACACTCTTCTGGCATTGCGTGTTTCTGCATCTCTGTTAAGGCTTAAAGCTTAGCAAAGGTTAAGTACTACCAGAGCTGGTTTTATAGAGAGTTACATCAGCTGCTGCAGGCAAGCACACACACTGCCAAGCAACAAGCGCAGGGAGTCGTGCCCTACCCTCAGCCATTACAGCACTCAAGCAGTTTCTATGTGCTCCCAGATACCACAAGGTCAGAACAAGCTCATACTGCTCAGAGTCATGATTACAGAGCTATCTTCAAAGCAGCTACCCTTAAAGGAATGCTCTCTGTCAGAAATAACTAATGGCTTTAGGAGATTTTTCAGAACTGCAAAGCTAACTTCGCTCTACAGCAGAGACAGGTTCCCAGGCTCACTTGGGTTTGCTGAAGCTTTGCATACAAGTACAATCTTCTGCTGCTGCTTACAAGAAGTGACAAAATAAATTGCAGATTAAAAATAGGCTTAAAATTTTATGATGATGAAATTTCTCTGGGCCTCTTCACCAGGAAAATCAACTTTCAGAAAACAAAATACATCAGGAGTGACCCTTTCACTCTTCTTGGATAGGATGAACATGAAAATATATTTAACTCACAAGCTCGTGTCTTCCAATGGTATTAGCACATACCACACAATGTTGTTGAGTTTTTTAAAAAAAGGTTTTGCTCTTTTTTTGG